TAATCGAAGGAATGTCATCGATGTGGTCGGGGCAATTGCTGCCGCAGAAAGGCTCATTGACTTTGTTTCCTCTGAAGACCCGGGAAGAAGAAACGATCTTTAGGCAATCGCCCTCCAAACTATTCTCGAGGGAAGGAGATCGGGGGCGAACAAAGGAAGAAGAGTTCCCACAAAGGGTCAAGCCCGAAGGACAAGGCCTCGAAACCTGACGGATGCTTTCTTGTGCGGAGGGCCGCACATAGTGAGGGAGTGCCCACAAAAACAGGCACTCAATGCTTTAACAACTTCCATCCACCCCCCCTAGATCGGACAAGGGCAAGGCTGTCGCTCTTAGTTCGAGTAGTTCTGAATCCAGCAGCGGCGACGAGTCGCAAGGACCCCGGATGGGAGCAATGCGTTTGTTGAACGCTATGCGGGGTCAAGTGGGGGAGAACACGAAGACAAGGCTACAAAAAGCAGGAAGTGGTGAGCTGATGTACGTAGACATCAAGCTCAATGGCCAAACGACCTGTGCAATGGTGGACACGGGTGCTACACACAACTTTATTGCCAATCGAGTAGCAATGTGACTTGGGTTGATCTTGGAGAAGAGCCCAAGTCGAATGAAGGCGGTGAACTCGGAGGCCAGGCGAATCTCCGGGTTAGCGAAGGGAGTTCCTATCAAGATCGGAACATGGAGCGGGAACACCAACATGATGGCGGTGCCACTAGACGACTTCCAAGTGATTCTTGGAATGGAGTTCATGCGCGCGGCGAAGTTGGTGCCAATGCTGTTCCTAAACTCCCTATGTATGATGGGAGGTGACGACCACTGTGTGGTTCCCATCTCTCGGAGAGGAACTAAGGAACCCCAACATATATCGGCAATGCAACTGAAGAAAGGGGTGCGAAAATGTAAATTAACATTCGTGGCTGCTATGAAGCTAGAGCCACTTGACGAGAAGGCCATTCATGACCTTGCTGTGGTGGCGAACATCCTAAAAGAGTTCACTGACGTTGTCACCCGAGTTGCCGAAGACTCTTCCACCACGCAGAGGCGTGGATCACAACATCGAGCTGGAGCCAGGAGTGAAGCCTCCAGCAAGACCACCCTACCGCATGGCCCCGCTAGAGTTGGCAGAACTCAGAAAGCAGTTAGGTGAACTGCTAAGCGGTGGTCTCATCCATAGTTCTAAAGCACCATTCGGAGCTCCAGTTTTCTTCTAGAAGAAACAAGATGGGAGCCTCCGACTATGCGTCGATTACCGAGCCCTCAACAAAGTGGCGGTGAAGAACAAGTATCCCATCCTGCTCATCGCGGACTTGTTCGACCAGTTGGGCAAAGCCAAGTATTTCTCAAAACTCGACCTTCGATCGGGGTATTGGCAGGTGCGCATTGCTGAAGGCGACGAAGCGAAGACTACCTGTGTGACCAGGTATGGAGCGTTTGAGTTCTTGGTGATGCCTTTCAGCTTAACCAACGCTCCGGCCACGTTCTGCACTCTCATGAACCAGCTATTCAAGGAGTATTTAGATAAGTTCGTGGTCGTCTACTTGGACGATATCATCGTCTACAGTCAAATGCTCGAGGAGCATGTCAAGCACCTTCGGACAATTTTCAAGGTTCTCAGGAAGAACACTTTGTTCGTGAAAAGGGAGAAATGCTACTTTGCCCAAATGAAGATCTTATTCTTGGGGCATCGAATCGGTGATGGCTCCATTCGGATGGACAAATCAAAAGTGCAAGCGGTTGTGGAATGGCGAACTTCAAAGAAAGTGCCAGAGTTGAGATCTTTCCTTGGTTTCGTCAACTACTATCGACGCTTCATAGCGGGGTATTCGAAACGTGCAACTCCACTGACGGAGTTGCTGAAGGAGCAGCCTTGGAAGTGGTCTGACAAATGTGAAATAGCATTCCAAGATCTAAAGGTTGCTGTTCTGGAAGAATCGATGCTCAAATTGCTTGACTATGGGGAGCCCTTCGAAGTCCATACAAATGCTTCAGATTTCGCTATTGGGGGAGTGCTCATGCAGGAGGGTCATCCGGTGGCCTGCGAGAGCCGCAAGCTTAACGAGACCGAGCGGCGGTAACCGGTGCATGAGAAGGAAATGATAGCGGTGATCCACAGTCTACGAGTTTGGCGACACTATCTTCTCGGATCACAATTTGTGCTGAGGACAGATAACATCGCTTTGAGCTATTTCTAAACTCAGAGGAAACTCTCCCCAAAGCAAGTATGATGGCAGGACTTCTTGGCTGAATTTGATATGGTAATGGAGTACAAGCCTGGAAAGGCAAATGTCGTGGCCGATGCATTGAGTCGGAAAGTGGAGCGTGTAAATGCCATACAATTGGAGGGCAGAGGCCAAGCCAGTCAGTTGCACCTTGGCTCTCGTGGAGAGGGCCTTCTATTTGCCGAAGATGGGGACTGATGTAGAGGAATATGTTCGAACATGCCTCACTTGCCAACAAGACAAGGTGGAACAACAGAAGCCGATGGGACTTTTGGAGCCGTTGCCCATACCAGAAAGGATGTGGGAGAGCATATCCTTGGACTTCATATCAAGCTTGCCCGCAGTAGGGAGACTCGGATCGATACTCGTGGTGGTCGATCGATTTTCAAAGTATGCAACTTTCATTGCTGCTCCCCTACACTGTTCAGCAGAGGAGGCGGCCAAGCTGATGATGAAGGATGTGGTGAAGTATTGGGGAGTCCCGCACAATATCATAAGTGATCGAGATGCTCGGTTCTTGGGATGATTTTGGATCGAGCTATTCAAATTGTTGGGGTCCAAGTTATACTTCTTCACAAGCCTCTACCCTTAGACAGATGACCAAACTGAAAGGATAAACTCGCTCCTAGAGCAATATCTTTGGCACTACGTGAGTGCCAACCAACGAGATTAGGTGAAATTGTTGGACATTGCCCAATTCTCCTACAACTTGCAGCGGAGCTCTGCGTCCAACAAGAGCCCATTCGAGATCATTACAGGACAACAACCGTCAACTCCTCATACCATGGCAATCGGGTATACTGGGAGTAGTCCGTCAGCCTACCACTTCACAAAGGAGTGGCACCGAAATACAGATATTGCACGGGCTTACTTGGAGAAGGCGACAAAAAGGATGAAGAAGTGGGCAGACTTGGGAGGGCGACTGCAGGAGTTCAAAGTCGACGATTTAGTGTTGGTAAAGCTCCAACCAGCATCACTACAATTCTTCAGGAACAAAGTACACAAAGGATTGGTGCGCAAGTATGAAGGGCCCTTCCCAATTATCAGCAGGGTGGGCAACGTCTCCTACAAGTTACAGCTGCCGACGTGGCTCAAAATTCATAATGTTTTCCACGCCAGCAACTTGAAAGCCTACCACTCAGATCCGCAAGATGCTTCCCGAAATGTTCCAACTCGACCACCCCCCACTAGAGCCTCCTACGAAAAACGAGTTAAAACCATTTTAACGGATCGCAAGATAAAGCTACCAAATGGTGGTGAGCAGACCAAGTACTTGATGAAGTGGTGAAAGCTTCCCCGAACCGAAGCCAGTTGGGAGCCTGAAGAGGCCCTACAACATGAAGAAGCAGTCATCAACAACTACCAACAAACGTCGACGAGGGCGTCAACAGTTTAAGTGGGGGAGAATGTCACGAACGGTCGTCGCGCACCCGCAACAACTTCGTTCAACGAACCGTTCGTGGCTTTTGCATGCTTGTACCGAGACATGGCAACATATTTTGCTTTAGTTTTGTGTGTTTTTGCTTGTAAAAATGCATGTTCAAATAGGTTGCAGCACTGCAGCTCGACCGCTCGCCGCGCCGGACCGAACTGCCCAAAATAGCTTTGTTTTCGCGTGCCATGGCTTGTTTTCTACAAGCCACAGCTGCACGCGAAACGTTAGCCATCTTAGCACCCAGGAACCCCCCGGGTGGCACAGGCCTGGATGGGGCTTTGGTATATTGTCGAGCGTTGAAAAATCTTCACAAGTTCGCACGTTAACTTGATGGGAACTTGCCTTCGCGCCCGACACCCGGTGAGCAGTTATTTGTGGACTTGCAACTGTTCGTTCTACCTTCTAAAGTCATTGTTTTCTCCTTCCTCTCTTTTCTCTCTTGCACTCAAGGTGCTTGCTGAATTGCTTGTAAAGCTTCCTTCTCCCGAGACGTCGGGACTTGTCCGTCGCTCGTTTTCAATCTAATCAACTTTCTGTTTTACAGGTCCTTCGGGACTTGTACGAGGTTGCAACTAGGCTAAACCTTTGCGGACGCATATGTCGCAAGGACGCCTCATGACTTAGGCAATCCCAGCTAAGTCCGAGGAGTTGGCGCAAGAGTGCTTCACGACTTAGGCAACTTCAACTAAGTTCGTGATTTTGCCGCAAGAGTGCCTCACGACTTAGGCAATTCCAGCTAAGTCTGTGACAATACGTTCAAAGAATGTCAGCAATTCGTCACCTTTGACCTTGTTAACATAAACAAACTTCACTTAATCCACTTTTGGATAACCCTATGAGGATTTCTTAGTGTAACAACAAGATATCAAATTACAAACATAAACAAAAAGTATTCAAATTGTTTTAAGAAAATCTTAGTATTGCTTTGAACTTCAATCCTCACAACACAGTCAAGATCATAATCGTTGAGATTTTGTACTAGATACTTTCATGTTATCCCACAATAACAGATTGGAATATAACTAGTTTTTGTAATTTGTATAGGATTTATCCAACTTCATTGAAAAGTGCAATGGTAGCAACAAACTCTTTATATAACATTAACAAATAATTTTTCAAAAGGTAACAGATTTATCTCATTATGACTGATTTCTAGGAGGACTATAATGGAAGCTCATAACTTGACTCATTAAGTCAATAAAAAATTATCTATATGTAGAAGTAATAAATAACATGCATGAGCTTTTGCTAAAAAGGTTTCCAGAATGATGATCAATGACACTGATACATAAGTAACTCAGAAGATAAAGTCATTTTATGCCAAAAAGAAATCTCAAGTAGAATCTTAGACCTCACAGTGGGACAAAAATTCCACCACACTGTCCTCAAGTTCTGAGTGGAGAGGTTCTCCCAGTAAAGCAATTGAGTGAATAATCCAGTAGCATAGCCAAGGTCGACTGCAATTATCAATTATAAAATGATTTAAATGAAAACAAAAAAATAAAGAAATCAAATGCTATTCAAACGGAAATGGTTATGTAGAAAAAAAAAAACATTCATAAATATGTTACCAACACAGAAAAATCCATCTTACTTGGCATCTAGCACATGATAGCTCGGTCCAAGAAGTCCGAGTCCTCTTGTTAAAAACTCGATGTGTGTGTCACGCCAAAGCTCTAGCCTGCACTTCTACTGATTTACTTGAAAGGTTCTTTCCAAATTTTTGCTAGACCGAAGGACTGAATTAGGACATTCAAATTAAAAAGAGAAATTTTGAGGAATGCAAAAAAATTATAAGCATTAAATAAGCATTGACTACCATGTTCTCTTCTTAAGTTAGATGTCCTCAATTTGTTCAAAGAAAATAAAGATAAGGACAAAAGGTGGGAAGTCCTTTTCTACATTGAAGTGCGCTGAGTTTCATAAGCATATTTACATCAAATACATGCCACATACACACCACATTGGTAAGTAAACAGCAGAAGATGTGTGAATTTCGGGTTATAATGTAGTTCTCTGGAAGCATGGGACTTCAGATATAGGCAGATCATGTTAATGCACATAAGCTGATTTTCTTTTTATTATAGGTAGGCTTGATGTCAAGCAGTGAGCACAAAAGACTTAATCTTATAGCAAATAGTACCTGTGGTGTGTTCACTAAGATGAATTCTTCAAGCCTTAATTCAAACATAGGACAAGTATATTGATTATTTTCCATTTACTTACAAATATCAATAGTTGCCAACGAGATGACTTTGGTTATTTATGTCAGTATTATAGAATAAATAACCTGTATATTTAATGCAAAGCCAGCACTTTGGTTACAATCTTCTCCACTTAATGTCTTAATGTGCTAGTCATAGCTTGGAATTAGACTGCTCGCGAGGACTATTCAAGTAACCCTTTCCAATTCGAGCCTCTCATCGTGCTCAACACTAGGTTATAACTCTGGTAGGAGCTTCCCTACAACCTTGTAAGACTTATTGGTCTAGTTTCTTCTTAAAACGCTGGGAATGAACCATCTATTCTCCCGTTAAGGAATCTTAAACATTAGAAACCACCACAAGAACCTATTTCAAGTAATAATGGCTAACATAAGATGTTGTTCGTTCAACCAGAATTATCTTACTGGTTTGTTTCCGTCCATGAATCTTTTGCAACCTTCGAGCGACAATAGCCTTGGACCAAGATAATCTTGTATTATTTGATCTGACGTTCACATTTTCATGCAAAGATAAAGAAACGGGCAAAGAAATGTGGCTAAATTCTTTGTCGTTGTGGTCGAACGTACTAGGGTTAAGAGTCTGAGCAACGGATGACCTATGAACTTTCTCGAGCAATCACACCTGTATGGGAAAAAGGATTCCAGGTCGCAGAAGATAAATAAGGGTTTCCTAGCAATGATCGAAGTGGGGAGGACTTACATGAAGGACTGGGTGTGGGGGGCGATGCCACGGAGAATCCGGTAGATCTCGAATACTTCCTCCTCCACCTTAAGCTGCTCCAGCTGCGTCACGGTGAGCCTTCTCGGCCCGTCCGAAGGGGAGGGAGGCGGGGAAGAGGTTGACGATGAGGGGGGAGAAGACTCCATGGCAACGGAACTATCGCTTCTTGGAAGAGAACCACCGGCTACTTCGTTCATCGCCAGTGGGTAGCACAATTCAGCCGACCTTGCGTTTTGGATGCTGCGTCACTGTCGCTTTAAATGTCTCGCTTATTAGATCCGACGGATACTATTAACGCTCAGATAATTGTTTATAATATTATATAAAACCTCAATATAATTACCTATTGGATCCGATAACCCACCCAGGCGGCGATTATCGGATTCGGAATTTTGCCTGTAAGGCTGCAATAGTTGTTTCGAGCGTAAAACCCGACCCGACACGGCCCACTCTTTGCCACCGTTGATTCCGCCTCCTTATTCGACTCGATGGACGATTCTGATGCGCTTTTCCTATGGCTATTTAAGCGCATAGCCACGGCCGATCCCAAATCGCCGAGGGTCTGATCGCCGCTCACTGTTCTCAGCGAAGGATTCGATCAAAGCTATTGTAAGGCCCTGAAACCCTAAATCTCCGATTCCCTCCTCGAATTCTCACCCAGTGCATCTTCTTCTCCTGCATTCACGTGAATCTGTAATCTCTGGATGGGTAATTCCTACAATCTGTTGTTTCTTCCCGGGTTTGATTTGCATTGCGAGCTTTGGCACTGGATTTGATAAATTGTTTCTTCTATTACGCTGCCTGACGGTTCTTATGCATTGAGGTTTCGGATTTGTTTATGGGGATTCTGTTTTCGGTAATTCCAGATTAACATCGTTGAAGAATTTGAGAGAAAGCTGTGTGCTTTCTTTCTTGATTTCATGTTTCGGCTATTTGTTGGGTGTTTGCTTACACGGGATCAGATCGTCTAAAACAAAATGTGTTAGCAACCATCATTATATGATTGAAGTGGTTGTGGTGATTGTTTTAAAGCAAAGGTTATCTAAGGATTAAATTGTGATTTTATGCATGTTGTTCTCTGGATCACTTGCAAGGAAGGATATTCTACCGGTTATTGAGTAAAATTGCAGGTCTGATCGAGTTATGGGTTGGTAATTTGCAGAAAATGGCTGAATCAAAGCCTGCCATGAGAAAACCGGAGTTTACTAAGGTTAACCAGCTTAGGCCTGGTACTAGTGGCCATACGCTCACAGTGAAGGTGGTGAGTTCAAAGACAGTGCTGCAAAAGGGGCGTGCCGCTGGTTCCCAGGTTCGTCAGATGCGTCTAGCAGAATGTCTGGTGGGGGATGAAACTGGAATGATTGTCTTCACAGCCAGGAATGAACAAGGTAGATGTTCTTATATTATGTGTATGTACGTATGCATGTTTTATGGTCCAGTAAGTTCACTTTGCGGTTGAGATTGAAAAACGAAAAAAAAAAAAGAAAGAAAATTGTTGAGCAACAAAATGAGAAGTGTGAGATTCTTGACATAGTGTTGCTTCTACCTTGTCTCGTTTATGATGGTTGCTTTTCCTTCAAATTTGCCAAACTGTAAAATTTGATCCGGCAAACAATAATTTCCATTTGAGCTGCTTTTAAAGGGGCTCATTCATTATCTTTAAGAAATTAAAGGGAAGGACAGCAAGGGAATCTCCCAGTGTGATAGTTAGCTAAATGCAGGGAGCTAGTTCTTGCTCCTATTCATGGTAACATCAATTAAATATTTGACTTGGAAGGTCCATGATACTAGATATCTCCAATAGTTGTGGCTTTTAACTTCATGTTGCAGGTGATATTTGCTTGCAGGAGCTTCTGTTAGGAGATGACAAAGAAATCTTTCCTAAAAGTTATATTATGAAAAGAATTGGTTTTTAATATCATTATGAGGCCATAGAAGTTTTTCTTTAATGCCATACATATTTGGAGATGCTCCCAAGCTTTTTGCTGCTAATGGTTCTAGTTTGATTATGGTGTATTCTTTTCCCCTAAATTATTAGTTTTATTTCATTATCATTCTGTATGTTGTGTCTTTGTTATCTCTGCATTATACTTCTATGATGATCAATTTCTCTATTACCGTATCTAAATCTGACTGATGATCAATTTTTGTTGTCAATAATGTGGGATTTGCTATGTTACAAACAATTGGATCGCTGTAATAATTGGCAGCAACTAGTTTTACGAGACCCATGAATAGAGATCCTTTTGCTAAACCCAGATTATGGTGTCTATATGGCTCAGTTAGTTGGCATGACCTTGTGCATATTCTTTACATCTTCAGAATCTAAAGTGTGACTGCTACTACATGAAAAGCTGAGGCAAATGACTGTTTCAAATACAAGGAGTCTGTGTGACTTGTTCACTTTTACTTGGAAAGAATATGGGGAGATAAATCTATAATAACTGCAGAATTTTTTTTTTTAAATTTTGTTGGTTAGAATTTAGAATATTGGTGGAAACAATCTCAGATTATGAGGTAAGGCATACAAAGTTATTTCCAGGCATCGTGTTATTAGAAAGAGAATAAATTTGGATGAAATATTTTTCTGATACAAATTTGGTTGTTATATTTTTATCTTCAAGTTGTGGTACTCAGGATGTTGCTTGTTAATTTAAAGAATTTGGCTTATTTATGTTCACTCTGATGTTCTCATGTTAGTGCATGCTTTTGAACAGAATACCAATTTTGGAGACTCATATTAGGAAACTTGTATGCTTGTATTACTGTAGATGTGAATGCTTGGTCTGATAGTTGAAATATTTCACCCAGATCTGTGCTTGCAAGTCCATGTTTAACATTGGAAATATTTTTGTAACCAGAAGTTTGAGCTATTTTAACAACGAGTTTCTAGGTCATATAAAAACTGATAAGATCCTTTGACATGTTATTCTTAGAATACGTTGAATATTTAGGAGAGTTCAGGGTGCAGACACACAGCAATTGGGCTACCCCGACAGCTCTTGCTTAGTTGTCTTCAGGAGAATACTTAGAAATACAAGTGGCCTTGTAACCAGGAAAAAGGATCAAGAAGTGAATGCAAGGGGATAACAATAAATTTTTTTTTAATATCTACTTTGATATATCAATTCAGTAAGGAGCCAGGATGTTTTTAATACTAATTTACATTGTCAGAAGTGCACAAACAAATAAAGCAGCTAATTAAGCCCAAATCATCACCTAAAATCATCTATCAGAAAGAAAAACCAAGTTGTGGCTTAAAGGTACTTCAAACCATGACTGATAATAGATGGCGGTTGATTTTAGATTGTTGTTTGAGGTTGAAGGTTGGAAATATCCAGTTGGTGATCTTCACCATTCACCAATAACACCATGTTCTGGCTTTAAGGTACTTATAATAATCATCACAAGCATGATAATGGTGATCGATCTTAGATGGTTAAAGTTGGAAATCTCCATTAACAAGCTCTTGTGTTCAATTAATTTTAGAATGGATTTAAAATATTTGGGAACTTTCAACCAACAAAGAAGGATGGTGGATATTAATATCATTTAGACATGACTGTATAAATTCATATCACTTTCAAGATTTTTAAAAATTTATTTTGCGTCTTTTGAACCTGTAATTGGAGGGAGGGGTTAACTCCTCTTATCTACGATTAACAGCTCATTATGTGAGGTGCTTGGTACATGTCGGCTAGCTTCCTTTTCTTTGATATTACATATGCTACCTATGCTGTTTTTGAATACTAATTCTTGGAATTTCATAAATCCAGTGGATCTGATGAAGCCAGATACAACTGTAATAATCAGGAATGCAAAGATCGACATGTTTAAAGGATCGATGAGGCTTGCTGTGGACAAATGGGGCCGTATAGAAGTCACAGATCCAGCCAATTTCACAGTGAAAGAGGACAACAATCTGTCTTTGATCGAGTATGAACTGGTGACCGTTGTTGAAGAGTGACCAAGATATGGCTACCAGAGCCAGTTTCGGCACAGTGTCTCTTCTCTCTTGATGCTTTGTTGAGGTTGCTCTGCTGAAGTCTCTTTAGGCCATAAGATAAAGACTTGGGTAAGATCATGATGAAGTTACCATCTGGAGATTATAAAACCCAAACCCTGTCAATGGAGGTACTGCTCGCTGTGATCACCAATCTGGGGAGAAGGTTTGGTAATTGCATAATATCACTACTATCTAGATATTGTGTATTTTAGAATTTCATGTCAGTTACTCATGGTTTTAAATTCGATGACGACAATTTTTCTTTTTCTTTTTTTTTAAATTAAACAAACTTTAAATCCTATGGAATTGTTTCTACAGTCAGGATATCATTATTTATAGGTAATAATATCAGCTTCTCCTAATACGGAGGTATTTAGAGGAAAAAGCATAAGGTTATTGGACAACAGTCATCGACCACGTCCGATTTCCATCTACATGTGTCATAATTGTATCTGTGTTTTTTTCATCCATAAATTGCTCTATATGTTTTAGCAAATATAGTTTCAAAATCTAGCATAGGTAGAGCCATATTTATATATCTATATCTAAATGTTTATGCATATAGTTTCTTCATAGTCTCATCCATTGTCACCCCTACCCCTAATCGAAGACCAATAGATAAATATCAAGTTTCCTAAATGCGCTTCTACGGCCAGAAGCTTATTTATATGCTAGTCTCTGTCAAGACTAATTAGTGCATTGTTGTTATTTATATACTAGGCTATGTTAAGACATTCAATTTAATTACTGTCTCAATGCAGCATAAGTAAAATGTGTTCATTTCGAGTCAGTATCATGTCATTTCATATAATCAAAAACTTTTTTTTTTTAATCTCTATTAAAATATTCAAATGGCATATGCTTTATCATCGGCATATTCAAATGGCATATTCAAATTGAATGCTAAAATATGACGACCACTACTTCCAAAAGAACCAAACAGAATTCCTCTCCAATTGCATAATGTAGAACAGTCTATAATACACAGATCTGTGACCTTAAATTTTCTACAACCGACTAAGAGGGACCACCAGCAGAAACAAAGACAAGAGTACGCAAATGATACTTCTCCCCGTTTAGTTCCCAAGAACAAAAAAATTCCAAAGAACAAAGAATTCCAATGCAGGCTCGATATGCTATTGCAACTGCTATCTTCGTTGACAAAATATAGTAAGCAGAGACCAAAATGGCAGTGATTTGGCATCTTCAGAGCGATGACAAGTTATGCAGGAACAAAGTTGATGTACTAACTTGGACCGATATGTAGGAGTTGTTGATGGGCACGTGCAGACAAGCCGGCAGGACTACGAAGGGGCATCGAGCTTCAGCTTAAAGTTGAGAGCCTCCGGTGAGCGGTGGATAGTAGTGGCAGTGTTTATTAGCATTGCGCCGATGGCCTTCAGGTGCAGTGACTGCATTACTGCTCCAGTATCTTCTTTCACGAATTCCATCCCTTGACCCTCAGTGTCATCCCGAAAGAGCATATCATCTTTACTTGCCTCCTCCCCCTGTGGCTAAGATGAATGCGGAGCATATTGAACTAGTAGGCATTTTATATCATGCACCAAAGCAGACTAAAGAAATAGGTTGACGTGCAGCATAACAAGAAGAGCTTGCAAGCTTAAAGGAACAGTTAAGACTAAGATCCTTGCGCCTTCGCTAGAATGTAAAACTAAGATGTCAGATCAGACCATAAGCAGAAGAATCCTGTAACCCTTGCAAGCACAGAAGTTACAGGCAACAAACATGTGCACATAAAACAATAAAAAAAGAGAAAAACACCAGATTTGATAATGCAGATAAATACTGGAATAGCATGCAAAGATCATACCTTGTGAATAAAAAACCAACAGAAATATTACAAGCATCTGCTTCAGTGTTAATCAAAAGTGGGAGAACAGTTTGATCAAATTCATAATAAATGCACATCTGACAAAAGCCAGTGTAGCATATCAATATTAGTTTGAAAAACACCAGATTAAAAGAATTTTGTTCTGGCAGGTAATGTGGAAATAAGATGAATGGAATCATTTGAACCCATTAAAACAAAGATGCACTTGAGACTATAATCTCCTGATTGCAATATAATGGTTGGTTACTGATCAAAGAGCAGCCAAGGCATTTGTCCTTGGCAGAATAATAAGGATAATAATCAACAAATACATGGAGAACCAGGTTCCACCAACTAGCAAGTAATGTAATGCATCACCAAAATACAAGCGGATTTACAAGTTGTATACAAGTCTAACAAATTATCTTGCATCTCTAATGAACATCAAATAATGTTTTATATTATTACCTCAGGTAACAGGCTCCATATATCAGACATCAGCTCTGCTACAGCGCCAACACCATCTTTCCCTCTCATGCTTAAAACCTGCCACATATCGGTCTGATTAAAAAAATTTGAACAAATAAACTAAATCAAAATAACTCCTCCTGTGATGTATAATAAATGAAGCTAGGATGACTATTCTAGCTCCTTGGGACACCTTGTGGATAGGATGAACAACAAATTTGAGGGAAAACAACCTCATATGTAGACATGGTGGAGAAGGGTCAATTCTACACTTGGCAAGATTTTCCAAAGCAACTCTTAAAGATTGAGATTCTGAGAAAAAGCATATATAAGTGGATGTGATTTGACCTCAGCACTGCTCTACAACCCCAGAAAAAAAAAACCACAAGAGGAAGAATTCACAGGAAGGGATACTCTTGCATGTTCATATATAGATCCTGAACAACTTTATATAGTCACTTGCAATGATGTGTGCTAATGCATCTAGTGGAGTTAGTTGGGCTGCATTCATTGTGGCCTTTGTCTGATAATTAATCAAACGCTGGTGAAATGTAAGTCACTAAGCCCCTAAAAGAACTATCACATTGGTGGAGTTAGTACAATGTGGGCATCACAGCTCTATTGTAACATGTGTATGGGAGTCGGTATTAAGCAGGTAGAAGTTGTTGAGATGTTGCAGATTTGACGCTAGGTACAGGTTGACAAAAAAGTTGTTACTTATTTTAGTGAAATAACAAAATCTTGCAGATTATTTGTCTTGAGAATGAGACGAATTCAATGATCACAAAGGGAAGGGGAAGGTAAAAAAAGTAGATGTTAACTTGGGTTCTTCTAAATAGAGTCTAGGATGATTATTCAATCAAAGGAGTCAACTGATATTTTTTACCTTCTAGTGAGACAAGAACAACCACTCTGTTTCATCAACAATTTCTTTAATGTTGTCTACTATCAAGTCTCTTCAGGTTCTTTATCATACGGTACCATCTCGAGAAAAAAAGAAACATGGAAAAGCGACTGGGCATTATTTGATCAATGCTCATAAGCATAATTGTACAGCCATTCAAGAAGATAGACAGAATGTACAATTTTGCACGATATCAAGAGAAAAAATAAAAGGAAAATTTATGAGAAAAAAATATATTTGAGTTTCGGAGTGAATTAGTTCTTTATAGAGTAGTGGCTAATAAAAGTTTTGTAGAGCAAACTGTAGAAATAACTATGTGATAAGACCCTAGGGTTTTATCATAGAAGGAAGCGGAGAAAAGGAGATGATCACTTCGAGGGGATCGGCCTCCTTGATCACTTCGAGAGGATCGACCTCCTAGGGCTTGTCAAAAGACTGGAATTATATTTCATTGCTTGTTGAAAAGAAACAAATACATTCCTATTTATAGAGTTTCACCTAGAGTCCACCAGGACTTGGACTCTTAATAATAAATAAATATCAAATAAACCCTTATCCGACTTTTACTAAATTAAACAAACTCAACAAAATATTATTTAAAGCTCAAAAAATAAAGGGATCCTAACAATTCCTCCCCCTTCAAATCAGTCTTGTCCTCAAGGCTGAGCAGTATCAAACTCGGAGAGTTTCTCTTTCAACACTTCAATCATAGGATATCTACGACGTATCACAACCCATTGATCAAGTAAGTACGATCTCCACTTCTTGATACTATAAGCAATAGGTCGGCCTTTTGGTGCAGTAGTCATTGCAGTTTTCTGAAGGACCCTCTCCATCCCATGACTAGTGGCAGTTGTGACCTTACTTCCACGTCTTCCTTTTAGGATCACTTGCTTTCCATTAATAAAAAACTTCATGATTAGTTTAGAAAAATTTCAAGAAACATTACCTAGGGTTGATAGCCATTCAATTCCAAGCACCACTTCGGAGTCTTCCAAGGATAGCAAAAAGAAGTCCACAAGCAACTCTTGGCCCTGTATAATCAATTTTATCTTCGAACATTTGCTATCACAAGTTAAAATCCGTCCATCAGCGACTTTTCTTTGAATGTCACAACCTTCAATGTGGTAGGCCAATCGATTAGCAACCTTACTGTCCATAAAATTGTTAGTGCTACCAGTATCAATCAAAACTGTAACATGCTAATGTTCCAGAGTTACCCCAGCTTTCATAGTTTATGGGTTAGAGTAGCCGGCTAATGCATGCACTGTATGTATGATAGGTCCAACATCTTCATCAGAATCCATACCTTCATGATCGGAGTCCACAGTATTAGCTTTCAGTTCCTCCCCAATTGGTTCAATAATCAGAAGTTGCCCTTGTTTACATCGGTACTCTCTACTCCACTTTTCAGTACAGTGCCAGCACAAACCCTTCGCTGATCTTTCCTTGAGTTGTTCTCGGGTTAGTCTTTGGGTGTTAGGGTTTTAGTTGAGAATAGATGAGGGGGGTGGCTTGCTGATCATCTGTTTGTTGTCACTTCTGTTTCGATGATTTTCCCTGCTGATTTTTTTCTCATGCAAATATGCAAATGAGATTGCAGCTGTCAGAGTGCAGGATTGGCGAGCTTTGACTTCACATCGGATATCTAGATTAAGTCCTTCAATAAATGTTCCTACTAGTTGTCGTTTGGACTAGTCTCTGGCTTGATTTGACAATCGATCAAATTTGTTCTGATATTCTAGCATTGTAGAAATCTGATGAATTTTAGCAAGCTACCCATCAACATTCTCATATTCAGATGGTCCAAAGTGAATGAGAAGCCCTCTCTTGAATTGCTCCCACGAGAGAACCCCATAGCAAGTTTCGTACCAATCATACCATTTTATTGCATCCCTATCTAGTTGGATTGAAGCTATTTCCACCTTGGATTCTTCTGGAGTTCTGTGAAAATGAAAAAAATTCTCTACTCTAGAAATCCCAATGGTCAGATCTCCATCTTCCTATCTTGGGAATTCCACCTTCATGCATGGGGAGCTTGTGTCATGTTCTTGGTTCCTTTTTCCTGTGTTTCCATATCGATTCAATGTAAGACTTGAACTTGCATCTTGTTGAAACTTGCAAAAGCTCTCCAATAGACTCATTTTAAAATCGTTATGGGTTTCTTACAATTGGCTCTCAATTCTAGTTTCTAAGGCTTCTAATCGGGCTTTCACTAAGTTGTCGGTAGCCATTGGGTAAGACTGTAGATCTGTAATCTCCAACTCCTGTTTTTGGTGTCAGGTCAACGACATCAGTACTATACTATTTGGTGCAGCTGTTGTGAAATTTGGCCCGGGGCAACGTTGAGGGCGTAAGGGAACGCGAGGTTGCCAAGGAAACGAACGCCGAGGGCAACGTGAAGGCTTGCTGCGGTCGTTGCAAGGAGGAAAGGTTGCTGCTCTATTTCTGTCGTTGCGTGGGGTCCGACAACTACGGTAGCAGAGGATGCTCTGTTGTCAATGCCGATGGAGGAGAAGAAGTGGTGATGGCAATCGGCGGTTGTTGTTGATGCCGGTGGAGAAGAGGAAGAGGTGATGGCAATCGGTGACTGCGATAGTAGAGGGTGCTTTGTTTCTATCGTATCGCAGAAGGGGACTTCTTTTTGGCTCGCTGGCCGGGAAGCAGCAGTGGCGATGGTGGCAATCGACAGTCGCGGTGGCTACAGCGACTGTGGTGGTCGTAGGGACTTTGGCTGGGCTTCTTTCTCACTCGAGAAGGATGTGGCTGCCGACTTCTATCACGACCTGATTCTGATGAGCCAACTAGCTAATAACTTCATTTTGGTCCTTCAACCACGGACCAAAATGCTTAAGCAGGAGTTAACGTAGTACACTCATCAGACCCATATAAGCCAATCATACACATTGCCCACTTCCGATGAGGGACTAATGGGATGTTACAACTTCTTTCTTTCTTTCTTTCCTTTTTTTTTTTTTGAGATGATGATAACTGCGGCAGGTGTTATGAGAAATTGCAGTGAGAACGCCGAGGATCGCTACTCTGATACCAAATGATAAGACCCTAGGGTTTTATCATAGAAGGAAAAGGAGAAAAGGGGATGATCACTTCGAGAGGATCGGCCTCCTAGGGTTTGTCAAAAGACTGGAATTATATTTCATTGCTTGTTGAAAAGAAACAAATACATCCCTATTTATAGAGTTCTACCGAGAGTCCACCAGGACTTGGACTCTGAATAATAAATAAATATCAAATAAACCCCTATCCGACTCTTATTGAACTAAACAAACTCAATAAAACATTTTTTAAAGCTCAAAAAATAAAGGGATCCTAATACTATGCTGCCACAGTATTGTGTCTAAATGCCAATTATTTGGCTAAGCAAGCTTCTCTACCTTTAAGTTTTAGTTTGAACATCATGTGTGATCTATAATGGTATAATTATTCTTGACCTTCTTATAGACTAAACTAATTCCAAGTTTGATCCCTTTGGTCAAATATATGGGTTATGTTAGATATACAAACATCATCTGCAAAGTTTAAAATAACAGTACTCAAATCACAAAGCCATATGATTAAGTCACGGCACAAGATTCAGCACAGTAAACTATATAAGATATACAATGCAGCTGGCAATAATTGACAACCTATGATGTACTAACCAAATCTCATCCTAGTGGAAATAGTTGAATGAGATTAAGAGAGAAATGACATTATATGAAGAGGAAGCACAAGGTTTCATGTTGTTCATTCACAGAGTCGATCTCCTGAGTGAGAATATAGAAGACCGTTTCTCCTTCCTCAATGTGTTTCAACATGAAGACCTAGTATCTAGCTTCATGAACATAACACTACTGAAAAACAACAACTTGAAGGCCTAAAAATGTCAAATATTATAATGATGTTGCAAAAGGAAATAATAAAAAAGAATTACATCCTTTAATTAAATAATATCCTATTGGATGAAAATCAATTTTGTACGACCATGTTGATTCCTCGGATATGGGGAATCATTGTGCCATAGAAAATATGGCTTAAGCAAAGCTCAGCAAAACAATGACATGCATCGAATAGTGTTCATGATGGCATGCAGGTATAGAATGAGTCAAAAGAATACACAGTCATTATAATAGAGAATAGTAATAGTTTTAATGAAGCTCATATCCTTTCTGCTTAGCTACACATATTTGTTTCATGGCATTGCTCGTGTGGGTATGGGTTATGTGCCAGCATGGTGCAAGTCGGTTACAACAGGAGGTGTGTTGGCTGCTACAAATATCATGCCAATGTAATGTTGTGTTGGCCTTTGTGATGAATTATGCATGTAGTTAGTTTTATACCAATATAGAATGTGTCACCCAGCACCAAGGACTTCTGGAAAAGTGCACAATTCTTATAGAGAATATTTTGCTGAATACAGTGTCACACATTAAATTTAGATTCCTACATATAAAGAACTTAAAGAAGTGATAGCAGAACTTCATAATATGAGTGCAAGTAACTCAAGTATCAGGTTAGAAAAGCAAGGTTCCACTTATTTCTTCTGTAGCAGTGTCAAATGTAGTCAGTGGCATCAAAAGAATAGACATTCTGGCCACGTCTTCAAGAAGCATAATATCCTAGAGGAATTCTTTATGGCAAATTGTACGAGATTATATGACAGGCTCCTCATGATAATAACACTGCTAATTGACCAACATATACTACAAATTACGGTTTCTAATTTCACCTGGATTGGCATGTATTTGATGGTATATTCCGGTCCTAATTGGAACTGGCACATGGACCACCCTTTTTGGGTGGTCTGGTCTCCCCTCTTTTTTTTAAAGGGACAGCAGGCTTAGGGTGACATGTCCGCAGCCTTGTTTACTTTCTTGTGCCTCACGCCATCACTCGGCTCAGCCACTATCAGACTGTTTGCCTAGTTTTGATACTTGTCTTCCTCTTCTGCCTCTGCCTTGGCCTTACCATGTGTCATTACAAACTGGACCTGTCCTGGTATGGGTCTTGTATCCAAAACTTCAAAGCTTGCTATATATTATAAAGACATTGATTAGAGCACATAATTTGACAACCCAATTTCCCATACTCTTTCTAGCATAGTTTGGAGTTCAAGCAAATACAGAAAAACCAAACCATATGCATCTAGTTGTACTTAAAAACTTTTATCCTAAACACACTGATATCAGATTTGACATTGACGTGAAGTCAAGATAGTTACATGATCAGCAACCAGTTTTGTCAAGGTCCAAATTTGTTAAGCTATGGAAGATCAATGTTGAGTTCCAAGTCCTATAACTTCTTATCCTGGAGTCATATAAGTATTGCAATTTGTAGTAAAATTAAGTTGAACTCAATATATCATTTTCAAACTTGAAATTATCCTTTCTATGTTTGACTCAGCAGCAAGATATTAAAAAATACACCTAACACCAAATGATGTCTGCTTTTCCGTCTCAGATTTACATTGTTATCCTTGTTCTAAATTCCTTCACTTTGTTTCTTAATCATCTCTGGATCATTAAAGAAGATGACAGAAAATTCAGACTAGAACAAAAAGGTTCTCCACTCACATAGTCCCCATGTTTTGTTCATTCCTTCTCCATCAAAATCATGTCTAAACATTATATCTCACACTAAGTGACACTCGATACTATATGATTTCAGTAATAACTCAGCAGTCGCTAGAGAAACCCTAAATGAGCCGCGCCTACAGCGCAGACGAGGAAGGTTATTATTTGCCGAAATCAGAGGGACAAAACCATATACTCCACCACTAAGGAAGGATCCACTCACCGTCGAAACCTTCGTCCTCGTCTACTTCTCTGTCGCGGGGGCTCTTCGCCGCACTCACCCTACTCCACACACTGGCAACTAGAATCCTCCTCCGCCGACCGTGACTCTACCAGTGAGGGTCCCTGGAGAAGCTAAGATAAAGCACTACAAGACGGCGCACGAGGGTGAGAAGGAGAGCTGCTGCTAGCACCCGCCGGCTACAGCCTCCGTCGGAGAACGGTTGGCCACTTCGGTTACCCGGCGCCCAGGGTCGAAGTCCAATATCTGACGGGGCGCTCGTACTTAACTAGGCCTCGAAACGGGTCCTGCCCGTTATTAGCGAAATCGGGCATGGATCCGATTCTAGGCGAACAGGCACCACAGACCGATTGGGTTTGGTGAAGCCGGGAATCTACAATCAAGCCGAGATCAAGCTCGGAACCGATTCGAGACGTACAGGCCCAATTTGGGTTTCGCGACCCGCCCAGGTACCTCTTAAGCGGCTCGACCAACTAAGATCGGTTGGGGTTTGGTGAACCGCAAAAGATCCTCTGAAGACTTGTGATTAGTTAGGCCGGATACGGGCTCGTTATTAACTCAGTCGCGTTCAAATCCAATCCGATAAGGGATATTATGAACTCGACGTGATTATACTACAATGTCACGTTTATTGTCACGAGGAAGCTCAAAATTTGGATCTTGTTGGGTCATCCTGGAGATGCGATCCAACAGGATAATGCTCATGAACTCCACTTATGGTATGTTTGTTAGTGCTTACTGCCAAAGAAGGCGTGAATGATGTTTGGTTGAGTGATCTCTACAAGCAAGGAAGTTTGCTGGATGAGTACACACAACCAGCTTTGACTACGATGTACATAAATGTGGATATGATTGACAAATGGTGGTCTTGGTTTGAAAAGTTCATGACAAATGATTCTAAAAAAGCTTCTTCTTGTTGCTTATCCAGGCAAAAGCTGACTGTTGTGTGTTAAATAAATTTGATGATAAAGGCTTAAAGGACACGAGTGGACTGCATTAAGGCTGGTGAAAAGTTTGATGGCATGGCAATTGTGTCAAAAAAGTGGACTTATGGTTCTTTAATACAGACGATATCACTGCTGAACTACCTCATAGAGCAGTGAGCTATATCAAAAAAACTGCAAGAGGGAGGTTTGCAAAGTGGCCGCATTCTGTATTCAGGTAATGACTAGCTTTGCTAAGCTTGGCAAATTACAAATGGCAGAAGATCATTTTAACAAAATGTTAGCTTTAAGATTCAACCTGATACCGTTGTTCATTTCGCTCTTAAAAATGCATTTACATAAGTTGAAAATGTTTATGAAGTGAAATATGTTAATTCAGTGAAGATTACTAATTTTACTCTAGGTAATAACAACAAAATCGTAAGTCTCAACTATTTGGGATCGACTATGTGGATCTTTTGCCCCCATTAAGATTTATAAAGAGTCATATGTTTACTTAAGTTCAGAGTACTTTGATCTTTATTCATAGTTTTTATTAAAGCTATTTTAGATTTTTTTTCTACCTCTCATCGTACCACTAACATTAATATGAGACACTCACTAGATCCTTATACCGCTAATATTATAGTTTCTAATAAAATCTTTTTAAATATTTGGTTGGCTTTACTCTGAACTTAAATTGTGGCTCTTCAATCGTTAGAGAACCACAAGCAACGTATTAGCTTTTAAGAGTATTGGAAGATAATCCAGATGTTAATGCCTCTCCTTACAAGAGATTTGATCATCCAGCCGCTGCTTTGAAATCCTAATTTTTCTTCCAATCCCTGTTGAATTGGTGCAGGTTATTTTTGTATGGAAGTAGTTGAACCATCAGCAGAACACCTTGGAGACCAAGCATGCACAGCTGACCATCTTTTGCTCCCACCAAAGGTGACATCTGTTCTCATTTAAGGTATGACTTCAACGATTCTGGAATTACAAGAAAGCTTACCAGAGAGATGTTGGTCAAAACCTGTTCTTATTATTCTCCCTCTTATGAAGAAGATACACTACTATATGTTGGATGTCAAAAACCTCTTCAATGACTCTGTTAAACACATCGATCACACGATTATCACAAGAAAGGACTTAGTTGATCAGAAAGGTAGGATGCCCAACGTGAATCATATCTCATGACACTTGTCACTTTCAGTTCTTGGTTCATTTTGGGAGTTCTTGGCAGTCTATTAGTCCATGTGTAAACGCTTGATTATGGCATGCAAGTCATTTGCGGCATGTGTACATGCAACTAAACTCTTATGCTGCTGGACTTACAATACCTCTTTTTCTATCATATATTGCCTTGTCCTTGACCATTAGTCATCTCTGCTCTAACTTAGTTATAGTTAGGTAGCAATTATACATGCAAGTATCCCAACAGTTGTACCTACAGTATCTGTTTTTGCCTATAACTATCAATTTACAAAAGATTATAATTGTTTCCAGGGAAATGCACAGCATGTGTGTCAAAGAACACTCTACCAACCAAGAAATACATTGCCGGCATACGAAACTGGAATGGGTTGGAGCAGCAAGAGAAATGATTCAGACACGGTGAGGGTGAGGGCAATAGAAAAGTGTTGTTGGGGGAGAACAACCACCCGACCAACCAATTCTGAGAGGAAGGCAAGAGAAGCCAGCTTAATCCCCTGCATGCACGCCTTCTCCACATAGCTTGTATGCTTCAATTCTTGGTGACCTCCAACGCTCAACCAAATAAATTGGCTTGGATCGAATGATGGAAGAAAGGGATCGAGTTTACTAGTAAACATATGGTCGTTAAGGAATGATCTTATTGTTGTGTATGGTTGCAATCTTGCTGTTGTGTTGTATGGTTAAATCAAGGACTAATTTTTCCAGAGAAACAAACCCTCTATTATTATAAAAAGGAAGAAAAAGGCAGTGTGAAATTGTTGAAAATTTCTTTTGAGTACAATGATTTTGATTGAATTTCTGGTTAATTAGTTTCTATAATTTGTCTTGGTGTAACATATAAACCATCAAAATTAGACTAAGATGTATCATTAAGTTTTCTAATTTTACCTGATCCAACCAATATGTGCAGCTTTGAGATCAAAATGTGATAAGCTTGTTGAGCATTTTTATGTAAGTATAATTTTTAACATGAGTGTCTAATGATTATATATATATATATATATATATATATATATATATATATATATATATATATATATATATATATATATATATATATATATATATAATATTATCCGATCAATGTTTGAGATATGTTATGTTAAAAGCTTTATGTGACGGATTACTTTTGATATATATATATATATATAATTAATTTATTTCAAAAGAAAAAAAATAAATTAAAGTAGATGAAACTTCATTATCTTAAAATTGAAGATAGAAATGGTGGCCGCCATAACTTGTCCGCTCTGAATGATCTGGCGGTACTTTTGTCACTATTGCGATTTGTGACCGCTATATCGACATCCAACTGTGGAAATGAATGCCTCGCTTTAGCCGTCAGATCTACATGGTTGAATGCAAGTAAGTCGCTGGGGCAGTTGCATCCTCTAACCTTCTCTCTCTCTCTGCTTTAAATCTCTCAAGCCATATCGTTTGCAGTGGCATTCCATTCCCCACCTCCCATCAAAGCTTCTCCTCCTAGACTCTTCTTCTACCTCAAACCTGATCTGCTATTTGCGCTTCTGCCGAGCTGGGCAAAATTTGCAGTCATGTCGGGCGAAAACTCCGACTCCCCACAAGTCTCAGCAGCTCCCCTGCAGCACACCGTCAATCTCAAGCTCGTCAAGCTGGGATACCATTACCTCATCTCCTACTCCCTGTATCTTCTCCTGCTCCCCGCCCTCGCCGTCGTCTCCACACGCCTCGCCAGCCTCACCTTCGGTGACCTGCTCCTGCTCCGGGACTCCCTTCGGAGCAACCCGGCGACCCTCGTCCTCTGCTACGCCCTTATGGTGTTCCTCGCCACCCTCCTCTTCATGAAGCGGCCCCGCCCTGTCTACCTCGTCGACTTCGCGTGCTACAAGCCTAGCTGCGCCCTCAAGTGCACCCGCGAGTTCTTCGTGGAACACTCGGCGCGCACCGGCATCTTCACCGACGACAACCTGGCGTTCCAGAAGAAGATACTGGAGAGGTCGGGGCTGGGGCAGTCGACGTACTTCCCGGAGGCGATGTTCGAGACGCCGCCCAAGCTGTGCATGGCGGGGGCGAGGAAGGAGGCCGAGATGGTGATGTTCGGGGCCATCGACGAGCTGCTGCAGAAGACCGGCGTGAAGGCGAAGGACATCGACATCCTGATCGTGAATTGCAGCCTCTTCAATCCCACGCCCTCCCTATCCGCCATGGTGGTCAACCACTACAAGCTCAGGGGCAACATCCAAAGCTACAACCTCGGTGGGATGGGTTGCAGCGCAGGACTCATCTCCATAGATCTCGCGAAGCAACTCCTCCAGGTTTTGTTAGTCTCCCGACTCTGCTGAGCTCCTCTGAATTCGCAGCTTGCAGAGCTAATATGTGCATCCGAATCCAACAGGTACACAGGAATTCCAACGCCTTGGTCGTGAGCACGGAGAACATCACCCTCAACTGGTACTTCGGGAACAATCGCTCCATGCTCGTGCCCAACTGCCTGTTCCGCGCCGGCTGCGCCGCCGTCCTCCTCACCAACCGCAGCGCCGCCCACCGCCGCTCCAAGTACCAGCTCATACACACCGTCCGCACCCACAAAGGCGCGGACGAAAGCTCCTACAACTGCGTCTTCCAGCACGAGGACGACGAGGGCAAAGTCGGCGTCGCGCTCTCCAAGGACCTCATGAAGGTGGCCGGCGATGCTCTGAAGGCCAACATCACCGCCCTCGGGCCGCTGGTCCTGCCGTTGTCGGAGCAGCTACTCTTCGTCTTCAATCTGGTGGCGAGACGTGCATTGAGGATGAGGATCCCTTCGTACATTCCGGACTTTAAGCTCGCGTTCGAACACTTCTGCGTGCACGCGGGAGGGAGGGCGGTGCTGGACGAGGTGGAGAAGAGTCTGGAGTTGACGGACCGGCACATGGAACCGTCGAGGATGACGCTGTACCGGTTCGGCAACACGTCGAGCAGCTCGCTGTGGTACGAGCTGGCTTACTCGGAGGCCAAAGGGAGGATAAAGAAAGGAGACCGGACATGGCAGATCGCCTTCGGCTCGGGGTTCAAGTGTAACAGCGCGGTGTGGCGTGCATTGAGGACCATCAATCCGGCCAAGGAGAAGAATCCGTGGATGGAGGAGATTCATGAGTTCCCGGTGCGTGTGCCCAGGGTGGAAGCTATTAGGACGTAGTAGAAGAAACAATTCATAGTTAAGGAGACCCAAATTGTACTGTGAATCTGAATAAAATATTTCTCATGCAAACCATCTCAAAGAAAATAAAAATAAAATTGATTTGAGTATTTTGCATTCCAAGTGCCGAGTGGCTTCTGAGTGAGTTCAAGTGAATGCAGCGTCATCTTCGAGCAATTGATATGGAGAGATGGCTTCTCCATCGATGTAGTATGAGGATGCGTTTTGCTCACTTAAGCAAGAGAATGTTGCTTTTACGATCTTAACTTCGATCGATCTGGTTTTGTCATATCATACACACATTATAATGTTGTATCTGTTAACGAGTCCTCGGTCGACATGTAATTTTGACTTTGTTACATGAGTTTTTTATTATTTGACTTGATGTTTTAGAAAGTCCCAAAATCACAAGTGTTTGGAGATGTCAATATCCCAACCAAAACAGAAAAAAATACAATAGGTTTGCGGACCATTTTCTAGCTTCAACTCCACCAGCAGCTCTAGCCCCTACCCTAATGAAGAGTTATGTTCCCTTGGGAAAATAACTTTCCAAATCACTCCTCTCTAGGTCCACCTAATCTTCTTTAACAAGTAGGTGGACCTAAAGGGTTAATTATCTAGTAGATTCAACTCTCCCTAATGTGCAAGTCCATTTAAGATGGGTTAATCGTTAGAGAATATCAAAAAAAAAAAAAAGTAGGGAAAAAAAACTAAAACTGAACGCTACCTAAAGGTCTCCTTTGTTAAAAACATTACGAAGGAACCAATTCCTCGTATATTCAAAAGAGAAGTTGAGTCTAAGAAAGGCCGTAAGAGAGGAAAAAAAGCTCATAGTCGAATAATTCAAAATGGCATCGCAACGACAAATCTTGAGGGGATCGAGCTCCCCCCTCACAAGAAATTTTTCCTACTAAACACTTCTCATACTGAGGTGTTCATGCAAATAAGGGAGAAGGGTTTACTTCGTGCACCTCAATCTCTTCAGACTCCCCCCACTAGGTGATGTTGATCCAAATTCTACTACTTCCATCAGGATCATGGGCACGACATAGAATATTGCCATGACTTGAAGCAACAAATAGAGTTCATTCAGAAAAGGCATCTGAATTGCTAGCTCCATAGAGTTTGGGAGACATCTTCAAGACCACAAGGACTCATCGAACGATACGTAGACATAATTGTGGGGGCATGTGTTAGGAGGTAACAGCTCATCCTCCCACAAAAGGTTGTGTGTGAGCCTCGTGCCAAGAGATTTTGCCTAACTGGGGACTCTCTCACATTATATTTTGGGAGGAGAAGTCTAAACACTTAAACCTAGACCATGATAATTCTCTAGTCATCTCTCTTAGAATTGTCAATGCATTAGTGAAGAGAGTCTTGGTGGATACAAGAAGCTCTACCGACATTTTATACTATAAAGTGTTTTAAAAAATTAGATTAAGTACAAAGGACCTATAGCTCATCTCTTCCACACTTATTAGCTTCACAAGATTCGATCACCCTCTTAGGGGTGACAAACTTATATATCACTTTTAGATCAAGTGATTGTTCAAAGACAGTCATGACTAAGTTTTTTGATAGTGAACATCTTGTTTGCTTATAACACTATCATTGGCCGCCCAACCCTCAATCATTTATGCATGATCGTTTTAACCTACTATGTGACCATGAAGTTCTCAATTAGTGCAGAGGTAGCGGAGCTCAAGAATGACTAGCATGAGTTCCAACAATGCTACCTTAAATCAGCTTCACTTTCGAAGATAACTTCTCTCTCCATCCAACAATTGGACTCAAAAGAGCTAGCTCCTCAAGTCACTTGTGGAGATTTTATTAGATTTTTCTGGGTTGGACTAAACTACTAAGATTTGTTCAACCCTTCCCAAAGAGAAGAAAATTAAGCTCATTAATTTCTATGCCACAATGTAGAGGTCTTCGCTTGGACCCTTAGTGATATGTTGAGGATTGATCAAACTATGGCTCAACATCACCTTAACATCAATTTGGAGCACTAGTCCATCCAATAGAGGCCCCGAAGGTTCACCCTAGATTGACAAGTTGTTATTGAGGAAGTTAATAAACTATTGTATGCTGATTTAATCCGCAAGTTCCACTACACAAAGTGACTCGCTAATATAGTTCTTATAAAAAAGATTAATGAAAAATGGTGCATATGTGTTGACTACACCAATCATAATAAAGTTTGTCTAAATAATAGTTACCCTTTGCTTTGGATCGACTAGTTGGTCGATGCAACCTTGAGCCAAGGTTTGAAGATGAACAGGCTTGTATTGCTACAAGGTTATGCCTTTTTAGACTCAAGAATGCTAAGACAACATATCAAAGAATGGTAAATAAGATATTTCAAACCTAGATTGAAAGAAACATGAAAGTTTTTTTATATCTCGATAACATGCTGGTCAAGAGTCAAATATCTAACGCTCATCTAATCGACTTGACTAAGACTTTTGCCATACTCAAGATGTTTCAGATGCGACTCAACGCAACGAAGTGTGCCTTTAGGGTCAGTTTCAAAAAGTTTTTAAGTTTTATGGTTCATTGAATTAGAATCGACATCAACTCGAAGAAAATACAAGCTATCATTAACATGAAGCCTTCGACATCCATATAAGAGGTCCAACAATTGACCAAATGGATTGCAGCTTTGATTCACTTTCTCTTAAAAACTGATTATTGATGTTTACCATTCTTCAAGACATTACAGTGGCCAAAGAATTTCTAGTGGACTGAGCAATATTAAGCTACATTCGAGCAACTCAAGGAGCACTTGGCAGCACAACCCCAATTGTCTAGTGTCGCCCTCAGGGAAGAACTGTACATATACCTCTTTGTAACACTAGTGGTGGTTAGCTCCATTTTAATCAAGGAGTAGGAGAAAATCTAGAGGCCAATGTATTATACAAGTCATGTCTTACAAGACACGAAGGCTCGGTACTCAAACTTTGAAAAGCTTGCATATGCCTTGGTAATATCTGCTATAAATCTTTGCCCATTCTTCTAATCTAATTATAAAATTATGATGATGGATCAGCCAATGCGACAAATCCTATCAAAGCCCAATGCTACTGGGCATCTCTTGAAGTGGCCAATTTGTAGGGAAATCTAGGGGCGACATCACATGCCTAGCGGAAGAACAGAAAACCCCCAAATTTTTCAAAAATGTGTTCGTCATCATGTGAAAATTAGTACACAAAATCCATAAAACTAAAAACTATGCGTGAGATAGTTGTGTTACCTAGGGAGATTGTGTATTCCCGAATCCATGCAGATTTGTAGGAGAGGATGAAGGAGGTCAAGCGTCCTCCTCTCTAGTGGGGATCCACACAATAAGGCTATAATGACACTCCTCAAATCTCCAAGCCTACTATCTGAGAAGGAGAAGGGGAGAGAAGAATAGGAGGAGGCAACCAAGAAAACTTCTAGCTTATGGGTATTTGGTTCTCTCCTATTTATAGAGGCTCCCTATCAACTTAACCCTAATGGATCCTATCTTATTAGGTATTGGATCTCCATCCAACTAACCAAGCCTCTTAGATTAGTGGATCTCTATCCAATAATCTCTCATTGGTTCCTATTGAATCTCATCCATAGGATCCAATAATTTAGGAGCTTATTGGATATTTAATAAGATAGGGGGTCCGACGGATATCTCATATCCGAATATCTACTCGTCGCAATGCTAACCATATATGTGTGACCCTCTAGGTCTAATATCGAGCTAGCCGTGAGTCATACCTGTTAGAACTCCTTTTGGCTCAGTGAATTATTATCTTCATAATAATTCACTCAATTCATCGATTGCGGATGTACTAAGCCACTATGTCGTAGTCCCTAGATGATATAGGGGAATCCAATCATTTGGACCTATCTATCCTCAATTACTATGTATATATAGTCCCTCATCCATCTAATACCCTAGAGACTATATATCGGGCATGGTACTATCAGGCCCATATAGTTTCTACTCGAGTCTCTCTCTAATCGAATTCTCCCAGAGAACTCTTTCTTGTTGAATCTTGGATTTTGATGAAGTCAATTGTAAATTGTTTGATCTAATCTATATGTTGAGAAAAGTGTACATGATTAACTACGATAGTAATAAGACATAAAGTAGTGTTTGTGCCGGAGTCAAGATCGAGATCTTATTGGGAGTTCGAGAGTCCGACGGAAGTCCAAACGTTCATCGGAAGTTCTACCGGAACCAACCAAGAAGTCCAGGAGCCTGCCAAAAAAGCTCGTCGGAACTCACCAAGAAGATCGTCGTAAAGTCCAGGAACTTACCAGGGGTCCACCAGAACATTGCCGAAAATTCGTCGGATGTTCGTCAGAAGTACGCTGGAAGAGCAATTGACACACAAGAATAAGCAACACTGTAATCATGTCTTAGTTATCATAGCTAGAGCATAAATTAAGTTAGGATTGGGAGGTGATCCCACTAACTTAATTAGAGGCCAACTGAGCCTTTAACAGGGCTAAATTGGGCCGAATTGAGCACCTAATTCAGATCCTGAATTTCTGGCCAATGGTGGCACTGCTTGGAAAGCAGTGCCACCTAGGATTTCTGGGCGGTGGTACCAACCAGACTGGGTGGTGGTACCGCCGGTAGTTATTGCTGCCAGCGGTGGTACTGCCCCTATCAGGCGGTGGTACCACTAGAGCTCGGTCTCCGAGCTCTATCAGGCGATGGTACTGCCCAATAATGGCGGTGGTACCGTCAAGACCCCAGAAATCCATGATTAGAAACTTTTTGGCTCCATTTTTGAAGCCATTGAGGCATATAAAAATCCCACCCTTTTCTGCATGAAAGGGCACGAAATCATTGAGATAATCTTGAGTTGTTGGGGTATAAAAGTATTGTAAACAAGTGCTAGAGTTCTCCTCCTCCCTTTCTAAGTTTCAAGATCATTCAAGAGTGGTGTGAGACTTGTAAGGGTTCTTTCCTAAACCTGTGAAAAGGAGAAAGTGCTATAAGAGGTGGTTGGTCTTCGTCTATTGAAGGAAGGCCTTTAGTGGACGTCAATGACCTCGATGGAGAAGGAATCCGAAAGTGGATGTAGGTCACAAAGACCGAACC